TTCTTTCTTTCTTTCTTTCTTTCTTTCTTTCTTTCTTTCTTCTGACTATAAAGGGTGTAAGACTTAGCATTTTCAATAGAAATTAAAGACTGAGTAGATATACAACTTTTTTCCTTTTAGCTCATCTGAACTATTTCAGGAACTGTTTCCTGATTCCGAAGGCTTTTTCTTATCTGCTTTCATTTCTCTCCTCTATTTCTAGTAATAATGAAAGTTTAATCGTTTGTCGCCTCCTCTGCTAGTTCTCAGAGAACCCGGCTGAGCAGATATAAGGACGTCTTTTTGCACAGTGGCCGCTAGATGGCATCCTTGCTCCATATGAAATTTTCCAGTGCTGCCGCTGCGGGCTCCAGAGGCTCTAAGCAGCACCTTATTCGGCCCTGTATCTAGAAGCAGAGAGCTACCAAAAGTCATGAGTAATTTGCATATAATAAAAATATAGGGTTTGTTATGGCTCTTTCCTCTATTGTATATATTTTAATTATAATGGAGTTCCTTTTTCTCCTCAGATGATTCATTTTCTGAATCTCTCACACTAAGAAAGCTGTTTCCAGTTGCTGTGTTTGATGGGGCGAGAAATGCGTGGGAACCGGGGATAATGTTCATAATAAAAATATAGAAATAATAGGCACAAATCAAGGAGGCGAATTGATTTGAAAAACTGAGATTTTCCTGCAGTGGGGGCCGAGAGGAATAAAGAGCAGGCCAGTGGATCAGGTGAGAAGGGTGAGCCTGCAGGTCATTTGAAGAGGAAACTACCCCAAGGCGGGCTGCCCACACCTGCTTGAAGAGGGAGTCCGACGTGTAGTCTGGGAGATTTTCAAATCTGGGAGAAATTGGGACCTGGCGTTGGTGAAGATTCGGTGGTGCTTCAAGCCGGAGGGGCCGCTGCGCCAGGGCGCCGACTCCAGAGCCTTTGAATGCGTGCAGGTCTATGCTGGGCAAGTGCCTGGTCACCAACGCTCGGACAGGGTCTCCCTAGGGATGCGGGATGCGGGAAGGCTGCAGCATCCCCTCAGGAGGCTCAGTCAAAACCCTGCACATTTTTCCTCCCCAAGAGCTGTAGAGGCAGGAATGGCGATGGGGAGCACTCTCTCGCTTTTCCGCGCTTCCGGACTTCCAGGTGAGAGCTGCGGCTTCCTCCGGCTTGCCCAGGCTCTGCCCTTGGTTTCCTTGTTCAGGCAAACCAGGGGGAAGCCAGTCCTTCCGGGAATGAGCAGCTGGACGCCTGGACCCAGGCACTTTTCCTTCTGAAGCCGTCCCTCTGCGAACACACAACCCCTTTGGCTGGTTCCCTATCTTCACTTTTCTCTCCATCCAGCCAGAACCTGCCTCCAACCTGAGCCTCCAAAATGACCCCATAACCCCGGGTGGCTTCTTCTTTTTCCTCCTCAGGATCAGGTGTAAAGAGACCAGCGGAATATCTCCTCAACTTGAGTTTCTCCAATAAATCTGCCCTCCGTTGGGTGTTTATAAATTATCTCCGCGCTCTTTCTTGTTTTTTCTTATAGTTGAAACATTTTCCTCCCGTCAGAAATTTCTTGCTCGGTGTAGGGGTGATTTAGAACAAGCCATTGAATTTCTACCCCACCAGTGAGCCCTCAAATCATGTCCATAAAATCCCCCCGCACTTGATAAAAATGTTCGCTTCAGCAACAACTTGACTCTGCTTTAGGTTGCCCCACCGACCCCTCATCCTTGTGGGGAAAAAAAAAAAAACAAAGCCTGGTTCACTTTCCCTCCCATTGGCCCCCTCCCTTTTTTTTCTTTGTCTCCCTTCTATATTCACTGTACTTTAGAAGGCTGAGTGAAACTCGTAATACAGCTTTTTTGAAAACGTGGTTTCAGTTTTTACAAAGATTCCGGCTCATGGAATCCAAAAAGGAAGCACCTTAGAGACCGTGCAATAGATTTAATTTATTGATAAAATTGAGTGTGCCTTTGTTCTAGAACATTTCTTTCTCCTTCTCTGTCTTTCCAGTCCTTGTCAGCTCCCTCAGGAGACCATTGGTTCTGCCTGCCACCCTGAGCCTCCTAAGGACTGACCCCCACCAGCTATGTGCCAGGTACACAGAGAAGGGCCTGGGCTCCGCGTGGGGCAGCCAGGTCATTTCTGGGTTTGAGACCTCAGATCTTCAGATGTTCAAGGTTCAACTAAAGGCACCCCCAAAAGAGAAGAGGGTGGCCTTGTTCTTTTCCCAGAGTCTCTTCACCCCAAGGTTAGTGTAGGAGGTCAAATGGCTATGGGGACATATACCAATAACAGGTGCCTTTTAAACACACACCTTAAAGCCTTTGTCTAGGGCAGTGGAGGGCATAAGATACACAAGGCCTTGGTGCCCAGCCTGTCTCCATTACCTTACCTCTTTTGGTGCGTTGATGAAGAGGTCACAGTCTATACCTGGAAGGCTTGTGTGTAGAAGGTATGGGTGACGGGCCCCAGAAAGCTGGGTGCCAAATGGACTTGATTACTGAGTGCCAAGGCCCAGGGCACAGGTTTACAGCCACATAAGATATCATCCTTAGACAGCACCAGACCCTTCACTCTTAAGTGCTAATTAGGCCAAAAGAACTTCCAGAAGACCCCCCTCTTTCCCTTGCAGCTCCCCCCCCCCAACCACCAGGCAGGTAAAGCTCTTGCAAACTGCAGAATCCGTAGCCGCCTGCAGAACTTGGTTCTGCCTTAGCACTGCCCATTAACCAGAAAGTTTCTTCTTCCTCTCTCAGGCCCTCTCAGACTCCCTTTCCACAGAAAATCTCGAGTGTTTGCTTAATGAGAGAAAGTTATGTGCGTGACCTGGTTGAGAACAGATCTTGGGGTGGTTTGGAGTCTCCTAAGAGGGTGTGGGGGCAGATGTGTCTGCAAGGGAGAAGGGGGCGAAAATCTCAAGGAAAGTCACCGTTTGCGCCGAAAAGGGGAAAAAAAATCAACAGCAACCCATAATCGGTCTCATTTCAGCTTAGTCACCCCCACCGTGCTTCAGTTGGGCGGCGGGGGCGATCGAATCTGCAGTTTTATAGCTGTAGAGGAAAGAACTCGTAAAATGCTAACAGCTTTTATGCGCTGCAGCATAAACAACAACAGACTCCGGCTTTATTGCGTTTTATAGTTTGTTAAAGAGTTTACAGCCGTTTTTTTGGGGGCTGGTTACCCAGCCAATTCCCTCCACACGATAGTTAAACCTTTATCAATAATAAGGAAATTGATCATTAAAGCTTTAAATATGACTACCTCGTTTGTTTGAAAATATGTTTAGGAGAGGAAGCTGTATGATTTGATAACTTGTATTAAAATACCAATTACATTTATAGGACCTTTTAAAACTCGGCGCAATTAAACCGTGTTCTTTTACATTTTTCCGAAGCGACCCTGACATTTAGAAAGACTCCAATTGCCTCGTTAAAATCGCGAAATTAACAGCGTGCCTACGCCAGGCTCAGCGTTGTGGATATGTGTGCGCGCATGGTGTTTTTCCGTGACTCCCCCACATCAGTCTTTGGGGGTGGTCTGCGAAGGTATTTGATTTGTTGTGAGGCAAGAGATATCTCATTAATGTAGGTAGTTAAACAGATTTAATCCGTATTCGTTCTCTCTCTCCCCCCCTCCCTCTCCCCCCTCTCCCCCTCTCTCTCCCTGGGTGTTTTTTTTTTCCTTTCCCCTCCTTTTTTTCTGCCCTCTCCTCACTCCCTGGCGCTCTCTCGCTCTAGCTCTCTCTCGCGCTCGCTCTCTCTCGCTCTCTCTCGCTCTCACCCTCGCTCTGCGTTCTGTCCGGGAGGAGTACCCAGAAGCCAATAGGATGCGGGGTCTCTAATGGATGCAAATGATGGTGAAAAGACGGGGCAAAATATGAAACAACTCATTTGGAGGGAAGTAAATCACCGAAAACTGTTTATGAACTGGCATCCCTTCTTCGAAATGTAAAGCGAGGACCTCTTTAAGTGGCGGTATATTTTTGTTTGGGGGGTGGGGGGTGGGGGGAGGGTGAGCGAGCCGCGGCTGCCATGCAGTCTTAGACTTTTGCAGGCTTCGCTCTTCTATTCCTGGAAATCACAAAAAGTGTGGCGGCTTCGAGATCTTCTTCGTCCTTTCTTTCTTTTCCTTCCTTCCTTCTTTCTTTTTTCCCTCCTCCCTTTTCCTCTCCTTTCCTGGCGAGGGAGACTAGGAGCCGGCGAATCCGCGTTTTTTTTCTCTCTCTCTCCCTCCCTTTTCCCCCTCCCCACCCCCTCCCCAACAGCCCCCAACTACAGCCTGCGCCGCCGCCGCCGCCGCCTCAAAATTCAATAAAATGAGCTCTTATTTCGTCAACTCACTGTTCTCCAAATACAAAACCGGGGAGTCCCTGCGCCCCAATTACTATGACTGCGGCTTCGCCCAGGACCTGGGCGGCCGACCCACCGTGGTGTACGGTCCCAGCAGCGGCGGCAGCTTCCAGCACCCTTCGCAAATCCAGGAGTTCTACCACGGGCCATCGTCGCTGTCCACGGCTCCCTACCAGCAGAACCCGTGCGCCGTGGCGTGCCACGGGGACCCCGGCAACTTCTACGGCTACGACCCTCTGCAGCGCCAGAGCCTGTTCGGTGCGCAGGATCCAGACCTGGTGCAGTACGCAGACTGCAAGCTCGCGGCAGCCAGCGGCCTGGGCGAGGAGGCCGAGGGGTCTGAGCAGAGCCCGTCGCCCACACAGCTCTTCCCCTGGATGCGCCCTCAAGGTGAGCTCCCGTCGGACCTGGACCTGACAGGGTGGGAAGGGGCCAGGAGGGCCCCAAGCCGGTGTGTGTGGGGGGGGGGTAGGGCTGGTGGGCAGTCCGGCAGAATCTTCTGCTTCTAGAGGACTTGTGGGCTCCGTTCCAAACACCTATCTCCTCTCCCTGCCTTCCTACTTTCTTTTCTCCTTTTTCCCTTTTTTTGCTTCCTTTGAAGGGGGGGGTGTCCTCTAGGCGAATTTCCTGAATCCATAAACTCCTCGCCCTCCTTTACTTTTCTTCTTCTCCCCCTTTCCCCTTTTACTGTTTTATGGGGGCTGTGGAGAAAGAGCGGTGGGAGTGGGGGCGCTCAACGTTTGCACTTCTCAATTGCTTTATAGTTTAATTACCCTGAAGAAACTTTTCTTCTGGGGCAGAGGCTCTGGGGGCTTTGCAAGGTGGGTTCGTGGTCCCCACTCTGGCTTTTTATTCTTACCCCCCTCCTCCACATCCACCCTCCTAAACTTTATGGCACCTTTAATATATCTGAACCCCTTATTCTGGTTCTAGTTACCAGAGGAAGGGGCTCCTCCTTCATGGCCCCTGCAGATTCAGGGCTGTCTAGTCCCCCCTTGCCCTCCCCCCGCTGACCACGTCCTCTGCGCTCCCCCTCCCGCCTCCGCATAAGGGTCCCCTGCCCTTATTATCCTGGTCTCCTAGGCTGGTTCACGAATCTTCCAACCTTCTCTGTCTCTGCCCCCTCCCCCACCCTCCCCTCTGTCTCGCCCTTTTCCCCCATTCCCAGCAGCCGCCGGACGCAGGCGAGGCCGCCAGACCTACAGCCGCTACCAGACCCTGGAGCTGGAGAAAGAGTTCCTATTTAATCCCTATCTGACTCGCAAGCGGAGGATCGAGGTATCGCACGCGCTGGGACTGACAGAGAGACAGGTCAAAATCTGGTTCCAGAATCGGAGAATGAAGTGGAAAAAGGAGAACAACAAAGACAAGTTTCCCAGCAGTAAATGCGAGCAGGAGGAGCTGGAGAAAGAGAAGCTGGAGCGGGCGCCAGAGACCGCTGAGCAGGGCGATGCGCAGAAGGGTGACAAGAAGTAGGCTCCAGCTGGGACTGCTCGGGTGCCCGGACTAGCCCGCACGTCCGCCGGTCCCTCCCGCGACTACGCCGCCGCCGCCCGCCCCCCGCCTCCGAGAGCTCTGGCCCCGCGAGCGGAGCCAGGAGCTGGGCCTCCCACCGCAGCGTTCCCCGCCGCGCCAGTCCCCGCTAGTGGTAGTATCTCGTAATAGCTTCTGTGTGTGAGCTACCGTGGATCTCCTTCCCTTCTCTTGGGGGGTCCGAGGGGGAAAAAAAAAGAAAAGGATTTTAAGCAAGGACTCCCTCGTCCTGCGAGGGTGATCGACTGCGGCCTGGCAGAATCCCCTCGCCCCCGCCCCATGTAAAAAAAAAAGCCTCCTTGTGCAATGGTCTTTTTCCTTTGAACGTGCGTCTTTGTAATGACCGAGGTACCGATTTCTGCTAAGTTTTCCCAACAACATGAAACTGCCTATTCACGCCGTAATTCTTTCTGTCTCCCTCTCACTTTCTCTCTTTTTCTCTCTCTTTCTCTTACTGCTTCCTCATCTTTCCTCGCAACCCCCTCTCCCCCCGCTGCCCTCCCTAGCTGGCTTTCACTCTTGCTTCTCTCTTTTCCTACTGTCCCCCCCCACCCCACCCCCTTTGGTTTGACAATTTTGTCTTAAGTGTTTCTCAAAAGAGATTACTTTAGTTAGCATGCGCGCTGTGAGCAATTGTTAAAAGTGTTCTTAGGTTTACTGTGAAGAGAATGTATCCTGTATCTGTGAATTGCTTTATGGGGGGGGAGGGAGGGCTAATTATATATTTTGTTGTTCCTCTATACTTTGTTCTGTTGTCTGCGCCTGAAAAGGGCGGAAGAGTTACAATAAAGTTTACAAGCGAGAACCCGAGACTGGCCCGGGCCGCCTCTCCTCATTCGCTCTTAGGCGCCTTGCAGGGCCGGGGTGGGGGGAGCTGGTCAGCAGGCTCCTGGGCTGGCCTAGGCTAGGTCGCTGAGAGGAGGGGGCGGGGGTTGGAAGCAGGTGGTGCGAGTCCCTGGGCCCAGGGGCGCAGGGGGTGAGGGAGGCGGCTGAACGTGATTGGAGGAGAGACGATCGAGGGAGGGGAGCCAAGAGAAACCCCCTCCCCTTGCGTTCCGAGGCTGAGGGGCCGGGAAGACACCAGCGCCCAGGCCGCTCTGGAGAAGAGATGTACCCAGGCTGGTGGCTAGTGTCCCCTGACGCTTTTTTCTTTGTTTCCGTGTGTGTGCTGGGGGGGGGGGGGCGGTTACGGGGGGGATGAGAAAGATGCAGTGCAAGGCTTCTGAGTTTATATTTTCACTTTTTTTTTCTCGGACTCAGGTTGGGGAAGCAAGAGCAGAGAGAAGAGGTTGCTCCCTACTTCCCCTCACTGAGACGTCGCCACTTTCTCCCAGTTTCTAGGCCGCGGCTTGCCACAGCCTTCCTTCCTTCGTTGGCTCTGCCTTCCTGGCTGCCACGCTCCACTGAGTGAGGCATCCGCCTTCCGGAACCGGGAAAGCAGCGAGCCGGACCCAAGCCGCCCTTCTCCCTTCCTTTTTCTCCCCGCCTCCATTCCGTTCTTCTTAATTTTTGAATATCTTTTTAATTGTCACCAGAAATCTCATCATCCAACGCCTTATTGGGTTGGATTCCTGCCTTAGGGACGCCTTGAACTCATCTAGTTATTACAGCTGGGGCACTAAGAGACAACCAGGAGGCCAGGTTCGCCTCGTTCCTCCTCTTGGGAGAACAGCAGCAGCTCGGATGAATTAACTCGAATTAATAAATATTCGGCCAGCACCCACCCACCAAGTTGCGAACATTCAATCCCCGCGTCTGTCTCTCGCTCTGTAACCGGCTGGGGGAAATGGGTGGGGGGTGACAACACGGATCGCTCAGCGGTTATTTATTTTCTCTTCCACTCAATTCCTTCCTCCCCAAATCTCGCCTGCAAGCTGCCTCCAGCCCGCGGGGGTCGACAGCGGCCCTTAAGCCCCTAGCCCCAATCCGCAGAGCTCGGCCTTTCCATTCATTATTGATCATATTTTATAAATCCAACGCCACACAATTTTTTCCACATTACTGTGAGCCTCTGGGAGGCCGTCATATCATTGGCCGAGGGGATATCACGTGGGCCGGGGTCACGTGGTCCGAAGAGGAAAAAGGGGGTCCTTTTGGTGTAAATCTGGACTCTAATTCTGTAATATATCAAGGAATCTCGTAAAACCGACACTAAAACGTCCCTGACTACAAATCATCCGGCCAAATTATGAGTTCATTGTATTATGCGAATGCTTTATTTTCTAAATATCCAGCCGCAAGTTCGGTTTTCGCTCCAGGAGCCTTCCCCGAACAAACTTCTTGCGCCTTTGCCTCCAACCCCCAGCGCCCCGGCTATGGAGCAGGTCCGGGCGCCCCCTTCTCCGCCTCGGTGCAGGGTCTGTACTCCGGCGGGGGGGGCATGGCGGGCCAGAGCGCGGCCGGCGTCTATGCAGCCGGCTACGGGCTCGAACCGAGTTCCTTCAACATGCACTGCGCGCCCTTTGAGCAGAACCTCTCCGGGGTGTGTCCGGGCGACCCCGCCAAGGCGGCTGGCGCCAAGGAGCAGAGGGACTCGGACTTGGCGGCCGAGAGTAACTTCCGGATCTACCCCTGGATGCGAAGCTCAGGTAACGCCGCGCTCTGAGCGGTCCCGAGCCGCAACGTCCGGGCCACAGTCCCCCAGAAAGGCTCTCTTCCGGCCAGGGCACCCTTCTCTGTGTCCAGGTTACTCCCGGCTGCAGATCGGCCATTGCCATGCCGTTTAAGTCTGGGCTGGCACCACGCGCGCCGCCCCCACTCCCAGTTTTGCTCGGTGCTCTCAGGCCCTGGCGGATCTCTTTTTGCCGACGCTACAGAGCTCAAAGCCCCCAGACCGCCCCCAACCCTTCCTCCGGGCCTTTTAGCTTTAAATATTTATCAGCAGCGCCGGCACGGGCTGGAGACGAGGCCGTTTGTCTTGCCTAGAAAGGCTGGGGTTTGCAGAGAATAGCCATTAGGGTCTCTCTCTCTCCTCTCTCCCCCCTTCCCTGCCTGAGAGCTTAGTTCTGGGTGTGTCCCCCTAGTCCTAGCTTGGGTAAGATATGGAGGAGGGGGCCATAGCGCTAAGCAATTCTCCCCTCCCCCTTCCTTTCTAGCCAACCCCGCTCCCCCATTATTCCCATCAGGACAATTAGAGGTGGGCTCTAGAGGCCTGGTGGGAGGAGGGGGATACAGAAGAGATGAGGACCCAGCCAGGGAAGCAGAGCCAGAGAGTGGTGAAGGAGTTAGTCTGAGACCCAGAGCGATGAGTCTACTGACCCCTCCTGCCCTGATGGACTTAGGAGGACGGGCTAGATAGCAGGCAAGGGCCCCATGAGAGCATAGCTGTCCCAGGTGTCTTTCCTAGGGCTCTGTGGGCCCCTGAAGAACAGCCAGGTTTGGTGGTATCACTCCAGAAAGATGACTCTCCTCTTTGGGGAAGGCTAGAACTCAGTGGAACCAAATCAAGATTTAGGGAGAGTAAGCCACCCAGCAGCTGCTTTAGGAACTATAAGATACCAAGGCTTCCTTCCCTCAGGTCTCCTTCAAAGTGTTCTCACGTCTTTTACATTTCCCCAGTGCAAATGGGCTTGGGAGCCAACTCCAAGGCTCAGAAGACCCAAGCTGGTCAGAGGCTTTCAGACTCGTGGGGTTGGGGGCCATGAGGAAACCAGTTCTTGACTATTGTTCTTCACGGTTTCTATTGCCTACCCTGTAATTGAACTGACCTTCCAGTTGGCTTATCAAAGCCCCTTCCCCTTTTCCCAATCGTAAATGTTTCAGCTGGGCTTATAGCTGACTTGAAATTAAGGTCCTTAGCCCCTCCTCTCTCCTGTCTCCTTCCCAAGAGGGCTGATACCAGCATCTCCCCAGTCTCCTTGGTGTTCTGAGCCTATGCTGGAAGTTCTCAGATACCCTTCAGCCCCACCATAGGAATCTTCACCTTCCTCTCTCTTGTAGGCCATGGTCATTCTTTTCTTCCTTGCAGACCTGGAGGCTCAAAGATTGCTGCAGAGGATTAGGTTTTCTGTGCAGGAAGGCGGGCGGGGACCCAGGCCTTCCTTGCTATTTACTGGGAAAGAATCATCAGAAGGCAATCGCTGTCAGACCACTAATTCCAAGGCCCAAGGAAATCAAGTTCTTACCTCTTCCCCATTCCACAACAGGTTTGGGTGGGGAGTGGGCCTATGGGCCTTTTTATTTCTTTTCTTCTCAGACCAGGCCTGAAGCCCCACTCTAGGGACACTAATATGGTTTCCAGAGTCTTGTACCTCAAAGGTCACCAGAGGGGGAAAGGGTAGACTCGTAGCCCCTGAACTCAGAGAGTGACTGAGAATTAATTTGCCTTCCTTCTATGCTAGCCCTTTTGGAATAGAGCCTCAAGGAGCCGGCAGCTGAGAATTACCTGGTTTTCAGAAGCTCCTGGCTGAGAAAAACCACCCTTCATGGATGACAGGACTCTCTGGTGTGATGGGGCTGGCCTGTGAACCCAGCACTTGGCACTTGGGGAGGCTGAATCAGGAAGATTTCTACTAGTTTGAAACCAGCCAGAGGCTTCTGTGGACACACACACACACACACACACACACACACACACACACTCACGAAGAAAAGAAAGAAAGCAAATGTTTGCTTTGAGAAGGTTGGACAATTTTTTGCACATGGCAGTGAAAGGGGTTAATTTTGTTCCAGCAAGGTGGTCTTTTTCTGCCCTCAAACATCAAACTACCTAGGAAGGAGGTCTGAATTGTCTTGCTGTTTTTCATTGTTTCTCTCTCTCTCTCTCTCTCTCTCTCTCTCTCTCTCCCTCCCTCTCCCCCTCCCCCTCTCCTTCCCCCTCCCTCCCCCTCCCTCCCTCCCTCTCTTTCTCTGTCTGTCTGTCTGTCTGTCTGTCTGTCTGTCTGTCTCTCTCCTAAATACTGTGAGTAGGGACTGATCGAAAGCGGGGCCGCCAGACCTACACGCGCTACCAGACCCTGGAGCTGGAGAAAGAATTTCACTACAATCGCTACCTGACTCGGCGGCGGCGCATCGAGATCGCGCACGCGCTCTGCCTCACCGAAAGACAGATCAAGATCTGGTTTCAGAACCGGCGCATGAAGTGGAAAAAGGAGAACAAAACCTCAGGCCCAGGAACCACTGGCCAGGACAAGGCAGAAGCAGAGGAGGAGGAGGAAGAGTGAGGGACAGAGAAAGCGAAGAGGAGATAAGAGAAGAGAGAAAGAACCCAATGTGGGAACTGAACACGAAACTCAAATAAGGGGGCAAACTGTTTTAAATGAAGAGGTCTAAAATTAATAAGGAAAAAGAAGTGTGAAATTTGGGTTTCTTAACACTGTAAGAAAAAAATACTACCTATGGGAAAGTGTGTTTGTTTTTGTACAGTATGGGAAGGTCGTTATCTACCTGCTCTGTGGCTTTCTGGAATGTGCCTCCCCTTTTCTATGTTGCTAGTAAGGTCTTTGTAAAATCTTGCTGTTTTGTAAGCCCTCTTTGAAGCTGTCTTTGTGAACCGTGGTTCCAGATGAACAGATTAGCCTGTGGTTCCTTACCTACCCCATACTTCCCAGTAGTAATACTAGAAGGGCCTTACGGAGCCCAGAGGATCCACTAGCTTCTGCGTCTGGTGCATTTGGCTGCTGATTCTAGCTCCTATCCGAGAGCCTCTTTCTGTATATCTGAAGGATGGAAAATAAAACAGGATTAAATATCAACAGATGCTGTATTTTCTGTCTCCCTCTGGCTGGGAGGGGTAAGGGTTGGTAGTGAGTGGGTGTCTCAGAGCCCTTCTGCTGGCCTTTTCTGTCTGTGCTGGGTTTGCTTTTATTTTC